TACAGAATGGGTTTTCCAAGGTTTCTTTTCAAAGCCCAGTTCTTCATATTTGTATTCTGACACTAATAATGTGAATAAATGTGAATAATTAATTTGCCTAATTAATGATGTGCGTACATACATAATTACAAAGCTATGCTTGCTTAATAGTCTAAAAGACATCTTGAATGTTCAATAGATGTGATTAGCGTTTGCACTAATTGGACTGTTTCTCATGCAGTCTCAAATCAATTTTGAGTATAAAGAGATACCTGGGAGCGAATGTGTGGGTTTGAATGACTGTTAGGGTACTTAGGTGTGCTTTTTCTCACATTAAGTAATCAACTCAACTCTGCTGTTCTTTAATTGTTACTGCCACCCTCCAGAACTATTTGGGAGAGCACCGTGCTTTCTCCCTTTCTTCACAGTGATGAAACTGTCCACCTACTCTTTCTATCTCTCCCACTAGCTCTCTAAAACCTCGAACCAAAGGCAGTGAGGGCTGCTTTGGCCCTCTGGGCTTTGTCAGCCAGCTCCTGGCTCCCACGTTACAGACAGTCCAGTGTTTTCCTAGCACTGCCTTGTGGGCAGAGATGCTAATTTGAAGTGTTCCTGGATGAGACAGCTCTGCGAGAATATAAGCCGGAGTCCACAGAGAAGGACTTATAATGCCTCTATGCTTTAATGCTCCTCTATCATAAGCGCAAACGTGAGAGCTGGTTTTAGAAACCTAAATTACCCTGGCAGCCAGTGCTACCCAGGGAAAGGTAGCTTTTGTGGGTTGTGGCTCCCAAAATAGTTTGACAAGGCATTGACTCTGTAAATGTTTAATGCCTGTGCAGTCATGGGAAGCCAAATAAACAAGTTCCACAATATAAACGAAGCAGATTTTTACAAGGCCAAAATTAGACAAATTGTGTTACCTGAGGGATTCACAGAACTGATGAACTGTAAATAACTGTGTCTATTAGCCTGTCGATCAACTCCATTTGATAATTAATTCAGAAATGTCATTCTCCACACAATCCATTAAGGAATAATTGCAGTCAAAAATGTTTTATCTTTCACAATGTCAAAATTTGAACCATAATGAGGAAATATTTGAGATGTTTACATTCAATTCAATTCTTGTTGAAGTATAGAACATTTTGGTGCTTATGAGCCCCATTTTATTAAGATACATTTCCTTTTACTATTTTGACTTAGACAGTAGTCTTACTCACAGGAAGTTCCCATTGCAACATGAACAACAACTTCTAAGCTAACAATGTACACACTGAAAATGGTTTGACAAGTTTTGACAAAGATTTGGATCATGTAAGAAAGGGAATATAATTTATGTAATTCAATAAAGTGCACTTTTGTTTAATAGCCATTTTAATTCCTGGGGTTCTCCCCAACACTTGTTTGGACACCACTGTGTCTGACGCAGCGCTATAATGAAGTAAGTGACAGTGGAAAAAAACAAAGGTACCCAGCCAGAACTGAAATGGGGACACTGCCAGACTACAGGGCCCCTTCAGCACTATTTTCATTGCAAACAGCTGTCAAAATTCACATGATTGTATTCATTGTGTATGTAAATGTTTTATTGTATGCTGGTTTCATCTTGCAGAGCGAATATCTCAAAACTACTGACCAGCTCAGCCTTGGTGTTTGGGACGCCATCTCTACCAGCGGAGCAACCTGGGTGCCCTGCAAACACTTTTATTTTGTGGGTTTTGTTCAACATTAGCTACAGAATAGAGGCTGCTAGCAGACCTTTTTCCATTTAGTCTTAGTTTTCCTATAAATGTCAGGTGTTTTTATATGACCACAAAGAACAGTTCCACATTACTTTCTCCCACATAAATGAACTGAATGAATGAAGAGTGAATCTCATTCACAATGTAATAAATAAAATAAAACTTCTTTAGATATCTCATGCTGCATTGTGTAAGTATAGCAAAACAATTTTGTACAAAGACCTAAAGTATGTATACATCTTAGTTTCCTTTTTGTTGGCTGTGCTGGTGCACAAAGCCAAAAACCTTCTTTATTGGATAGGAAGTGCTCAAGGGGATTATTCCATTGCCTTTTTCAATTATTACTCGACAAAAGAAGAGAGATGTTTCTTCTCCCTAGAGGGACACTATAGAGTGCTTACTGTGTCTGTTTCGCCCCATTGGCTTTGGTTGTTTTTTATAGGATCCTGTATACATGTCTCAAGCCCTCCCCTGTCCATATGTGGCAGCTTTGGTCTAATGTTACATATGCTATAAATAAACTAGCCTAGAAATTGGCTGCAACAGATAATCAATCCACTTCTGTTTGGTGCACACTTACCAGTAGTACCACCAGTTGTCCCTGGCACAGTGCAGCTCTTGTAGCAGCCTCTTCCTCCTCCATACATACTTCCTCCGCACTGTATTGTGCCTCATACTGTATAATTAGCACCAAATATCTGATTCCAGCATTACATATTAAAATTGTTTTCTTTCATATCATCAGCAACATTGGCTTGTGCCATGGTCTTTCAGTGGTTGTTGTAGCCAGTTGATTTTGGACAGCATGTTTTGATCTTGGAGTGGTGAGGAGCAGCGCCTTTCTCAATCCAACTGTCCGTGGAGAAGAAGTACAAGCTGCAGTTCAAACAACAGTTCTAGGAGGTTCATCTGGCAGACTTTTGCCAACAATTAAAAGTGGCACTCTGGGTGCCGGCAACATGGAGAGAAGCTAAACGTTGTTTTTTTACATATGCTACCCACATTGTAATGATACAAAGCTGTACAAAGTCTGTTGTGTAATAAAGTCTGCAATGTCATACAAACTCATATCATTAATACAATATAGCCTACAAATGAAATGACTTTATACATTACAGCTGGATTATTACATCACTTAGGTTAGAAGAATATGTCCTCTGTACCAACGAAGAATGCAGTGAATGCGATTGTGACAATACAGTCTAAATGGAGTTGTGCTACAGTCCGGTTCCGGTTCTTTTCAGCAACGCAGGGAAAAAAATATTGTAATGTAGCTGCCTGTTAAATATGGAATTTACCAGCTTAATTTAGCTCTCCCTGTTTTTTGCCTTGCCACCCCATTGTGACAACAAAACTCCAGGAAGTCGATGTGCTTGGTCAAGAAATAGTCCAGCATATAACCCCCTGATAAACCCACAACTTGTTGTTTTTACACTTCCGTTCTGTACACAGTAAACAAATGAGCTACAATTACTTAATTAGTGAGTTTTAGAGGTGCTTTTAGGTGGACTTTTGAACAGAGCCACCATGGTGTTTCCCTCTGTTTCCAGTCTTTATGCTAGGGTAAGCTAACCAACTTACATATTTTTAGCAGTCATATATGAGAGTGGCATCAATCTTCTCATCTAACTGTTCTCAAGAAAGTATTTCCCAAATGTCCAACTATTAAACTGCGATAAACTGAGAATCACTGCAAGCCTAGCATTTGTTCTTATCCTCTTTAAAGATTAGCACCCACGGTAGTTGTTGATAACAAGCAAAGAGCAAATAAACAAGTAGGGATTTGGAAAAACAAGACAAGCCTTTCTAATTAAGCCCTATCTGTAAAAGCAGCGCACACTGTAACCCTCAGTGGGAATAACTGATGTGGATGAAAGTCTGCAACTTTAACGCACAACTTGAGTCCATGCATGTTGCACATACTGCAGCTGTCCAGTCAACCACTTACTATGATGGGAATCTGAAGAAGTGACTGGAACTGTTGGCTATCATCAGCACAGTAACTTCCTCATGGATTCACTTTGCTTGAAGCACTTCAGGCCTTTTGCATTTGGTGGTGGTGCTGTGCTCTCACGTAAGATACAGTAGCTCTATTATTAGTTTTATTTTCAGCCAATAGAGCACCATGCACTCTCGGTCCACAGCTCCTGTACTGAGTCCTGCTATATCCAAGGTCATTTCATGCCCACTGTGGGGTACCCACCTTGTGTCTCTAGCTCTCGTTTTGAGGCCCTGAGTGAGGGCTTGGATAAGTTTTTAACTTCCAGAGCAGCAAAGGAGTCAGAATGCCTTGTGTTCTCTTTACACACATATTTGGCACAGACATAGGGTTTTTTCACTCATGTAGTCATTTGTTTGTAAGCTTTGCCAGCTCAGCTCAGGGCAAGCTGTTGTCATGGCAACACCTGTCCCTTCGGATTATAGAGGTTGTCACTGGAGCCAATTCAGCAAAGGGAATTTAGCTGCCTGGTAACATTGGTGCCTATTTTACCACAGATATGGCATAGTGAAATCATTGCAAATTGATGAGAAGACTCTGCTAGAGACAGTTGGTCTTTGTGAAACACATGTATGAAGTTTGGTCAGATCTGCCACCATCTACTGTGGCGTATGCTGCCCAGTCTGTGGGGTTATGAGTGATGACCCACATTTGAATTAGTGGCACCTGCACAGATCATTATATGAGCACAGTTTAATGAGAAAAAGCAGCAGAGAAACATCCCCCCCCCTTCAAAGAGCCCTATGACATATAGATTTTCACACAGAAAATGTGCAGATTTGACGATCAATCACTCAAACCATGATTAAAATAGCTATATAGACAGAAGGTGTACTCTTTTTCTAAAGTTAGGAGATCAAGGGAAATATGTATCCTATCACTTAATCATGATAGGACTGTCTAATCGTAGTAACTGGAATGATACTAATGAGTATTTCCAAGAAAACACAAGAAAGTCTGACAGTACGGTACGTGCTTGTTTTTATGATAGAAAATACTTCACCGTGTTGTAATAATTACACCTGTTTTGGTACCATTCACGTGTCAGTCAGTCAAGCATTATTCATCTATATTGAACTAGAAAAACAGTTTTGGGTGGGGGCTGGGTGCAGGGAGTTGATGAATTGAAAAACAATGCTCATCACTCAATAAACAGTGGAGTCTAGAGTACTTAATTTCATGCATATTTAATGAGCAGATATTAAAAACGTGCTCACTCATATTGGGCACGCTGAGCTGTGTGCTGCTGCTATTTTTAGATCCTCCTAAGACTTTTTCTGGCTCTGCACGTGTTTTGGGAATGTCAACAGAAGGCTGCAGATAACAAGATGGAAAATGGGAAATGTCAGAGATGACAGAGCTGCTGTGAGTATCTTTGTGTATTTCTTTAATATATTGTCACCATGATTAGCGTCAGGCTTAGAGGTGAAACATTGGCCTTTTGCCTGTCAGGCAAAGGCATGGTTATTTAGGTTTAACGCTACTTTTCCTGCAGTGAGAAGATGATTTGGGGTAACGCTGCAGCTATTTATAGTATAATATAGTCATGTGTGGAGAGAGAGAGAGAGAGAGAGAGAGAGAGAGAGACAGACAGAGTGATGGGGGATGACTATAATACCTAATTGCATTAGCCAGATGTAAAACTTTGGTAGTTATATGGGGGTCAAATACCAGTCTTCATATGTCTTTCCTTCACTTTATAGTTAATAATCCCTTCGTACAGTGGAGGAGTGGGACTCACACAGCCGAAGAGTGAAATGCTGCTCTGCTGTCATACAATAAAAGAAGTCTTAAAATTTTACGTCATCCCAAGATACATGAAGGAAGTCTGCAAATGAGATGAGATCACTACCCATACCAACATGGTTCTGTTCTTTGTCCCTTATATCTCAAAATCCACTTAAAGCTGCACAGATGAATATTTTTACTTGAACAATGGATCAAACAAGTCTGTGCAATATGAAAGTAGTTGCTCAATAAATTATCAATCATCAATTATTGCCTCATTCTGTGTTTCCCCGCAGTTCTCCACAGAGTTTATGGCGTCTTTCAGCTCATTGTTTTGGTTCTACTGTTTTGGTTGTCTCTCACTGCCCTCATCAGTCCTGACCAAATGGAAGACAAAGTTAGCAACTTGAACATGGTGGAGAATTAAGCTATTACAGAGCTGGAAACTTCACTCAGGAGTTGGTGGAAACCAAAAATCCTAAATGGAAAGACAAAAACATAATTCCACATCAATGTTAACATGTTATGTTTTTGCCAACAAATCACCATCAGCAGCATGTCCAGAGGGTGGGACTAGGGTGGCAATGGCCACCTCTGAAATTTGATTGGCCACCCCATTATCCTTACCTATGCCACTCCACACTGGCTTTCAGAGGCTGTAGCGGCCTCCAGTTTAAAGCTAGAGTAATGCTCCAAAATGAGGCAAAAAACTGGAATTACCATTTTCAAGGTGATTCCTTTGACCTTAAGACATGGGTTCTATGGGTACCCACGAGTCTCCCATGTGCAGACATGCCCACTTTATGCTAATGCCGTCCAGTTTTGGGCAAAACCATGCAGTTTATTGCATGTGGTGTAAATGCATGGAAAGTAGTTCCTATGAAAACTGTTACCATCAATGTTAACTGTGACATTGTTTCTAGAGAGACAGACTGCTAAAATGTAATATTATTTATGTTTTGAGCATTTTTCTTTCTATTTTACTTGCTCTCCAGCTCTAGCTCAGTGTGTAGAATACTGCTGAACTTATCCAGCTGTGTTGTGTTTTATATGTGAAAAACGTGCAAGTGCACTATTAGCTCAGGTTTCAGAAACACACAATATTGTTAGTTACAATAATGGGCTAAACTAAAATAAAATGTGACTGGCCTGTTGAGGTTTAGCCTGTTAACTACAAATTATGAGCGCTTTAAATTATTGCTGACCTTCGAAAACATGCCTTAAGTAATTAATCCTACCATCAAGGCCGCCACTGGTTTCCAGTCATTTACGCAACATGTAAATCAAGTTGCAGAGACTTGAAACTTCCTTGACATATGCAGTCCATCTCAGTGCCCATTCCATAGCCTTATAGTCAAGCTTGTGTTAAGGTTACATGCAAATTAAAAAAGTGTGCAAAGCCCATTTTGAACTCCTTGGGTTGAAGTTCACAATGACATCAGAGATTTGAGAGACAGATGCATTGAGCAGAAAACCAAACATAGACAAATAATTCAATGCATTCAGATGTTCTTCCATCCTTTTTTTCCCCCCATTTTCCAACAAACTGTAAAATTGACAAGATGTTTATCTGATGGATCAGCTATCTCAAGCATGTTTTACATCCGTGCTTGCTTATACAATCAGTAAGATAGTTAGATAGAAGAGTTCAGTAAAATGAATGGAAATCAATCAAAAAATGTATTTCAACTCCACTGAACTTATATAACACTTTAAAGACAATGCAGCTAATTCAAAGTGCATGGTAGATTAAGGTTTATGTCTTTTTCCAAAAAACTCTTAATACTTCAAAGTGTAGCTGATCACTTCTGCTGTAAATTATACTGATAATATACAATCTTTTCTCAAAAAGATATGGAGGAAATTGTCTTTTGGTCTTTTTCACCTTCCAATCAGCCTGTTTTGATGTGATGTGATGTGATGTGATGTGAAACGAAATCGACTGAGCGGTGATGTCATGATTAGTGTGTGTGGAAATCAGCTCAGCCTGTCAATCATTTTGCCATCACAGCACCCATCAAAGCCCCAGAGAAAAGAAAGCCATGGGCACAGTGATAAGACTGACAGAAGAAAAAAAAAAAGATGGAGGGGGAAATAGGAAGCTTAGGGAGGTGGAAGAAGAAGGGAAAAGGGAAAATAAAAATCAATGAATATAAGTTGAAACTAAATTATATATATAGTATGCAAAGACAGACAATGTTCAAGAAAAGCCAGAGAAAAATGTGTTTGCACTAATGGCAAATGAAATGATACAGTGATTACAACATTCAGAATCTTTGGGGCTTATTATACTGTCAGTCACACCGGGCTTTAGCTCCTAATCTGATCCCAAATAGAACACTTAATCCACTCATTTTTATTCCTCTGCTCACTAACTAATGTAGCCCACTAAGGATAGCATACATACTGGTACAAATCTTTCAAACTGATTGCTGACGTCCAGTTAAGCTCGTTCCTCAGCTGGAAACACAATGTACCAGTCAGCGGGTAATTTGAAGGGCATGTGATGAAACAAAAGATCTGCTGTTCTACGTTACACATGTATCTTTTTGCCCCAAGCACTGTGTGCGTCCCTGGATGCATGCTGTTTCTTACATGGGTAGCCCCAGTGGGATCCAAACACCTAACTCAGCATTAGCTCCATGCTCTGGATGCAAGGTGACACAGGCATCAAGCGGGATGACACAATGTGACACTGCACTCGCAACTGGTTGAGAGCATTGAGACTATTGTTGGGCAAAAGGAGAGGCATCTAAATGTGTTAATGTGTTTATGTTGCCTCTTGTATGGCCTTTTACGTCTTACAGTAGAGTATATTGAATTGTGTCAAAAATATGGAAAATAAAACTGCAACTCTATGTTGGCACTACTGACTGAAACCACATTAGACAGCAGTCTAAAAATCATAAGGACTTCAGACACAGTAGACATATTTCTCTGCCGTGATGTCAGGTTTTCATGATTTCATGCAGGCTACACCATATCAACAGACTTTCTATGCTTGATTGCTCTCCTATGTACAGCAGTGCAATCAAAATTTGCAAGTTTTTCCAGAAAGGATAACCAAATATAAGGGGCACCTTAGCACAACATTTAGACGACTACTTCTACGGTCATGACCTCATCTCAGGCCTCTTTTCTCGGTTCTGACTGTTGGATTGGGTCTGCTACATCTGCCTGCAGCTTGCTCTCTCTACTTCCCCAGAATGCTGTAGTAGTAAATCCTCTGCTCTTGACTGCTATTGGTCTCCCCTGCTGAGGAAGTGTTCAGACATGGCCACTGGGACACAAAGCAGAGTTACCACTTTAATAAAAAAGCCACTACAGTGGCCACTACGAGATCAGGCCAGAGAGCAGATGCATTAATAAAAAAAATAAGTATCTATCTAACTACTTAGAAAATATATGCCAACGGAAAAGCCTCCTTAGTGTGGTTCCATACCTCTGAACTGATGCCCACATTTTAGATTTGCTCAGTAATCAAATGGGTCTCAATGGCTCTTTCCCCCATTTCAGAGAAACAACTGACCAATCAACAGCTTAAGGCTGATTTATAGCTCTACATTGGCTCTCGAGCCTACGCAATAGCCTACGCATGTGACCTACGCCATTATGAGTATTTATACCTGGTGTGTCTGAGTTGCTCTGCAAACAGCACAGACAAAATGAGAGCTGGTGGTGGGGTTTCTATGCCATTGTGTTGAGATTCGACTCTCACTCGTCTCTCTCATCAATCTGTGTTATGTTTTTACTTGTTTATTTTTTATTTTTTAAACAAAAGAATGAGGGAATACATGGGGACAGACAAGACCATGTCATGCAGTGAGGCTTTGTCCCACGTGTGCCTGTTTGTGTGTGTGAGGACACGTGTGTGTGCATGTATGTTTGAAGAGGGATTCTCAAACAGCATCATTAACTAATCTGGGTTTTAAATGAGTCACTTCTCATTGTCAGACAATGCACACTCACACCAAGTGGACCAGGGCTATGGCGTACCTAGAGTCCGTCAGTTTGACGCAAAAGTATAAGTCAGGCTTTAGTAGGTGTGATTACAAAATGGGACTTAATTTTTTTAAATAACTATGTACATAAATGGTGACTAGCGTTGATGAGATCACTGCAGCTGTACAAGTTGTTGAAATAACATCTCTTAAATCTACATATTTGACTGATATGAAAAACTTAAAAGTTAACTACCCCTAACGACCACCACTGCTTGGCAGAATGGATACTTCACTCACTACTGAAGGCAAAGAATTAACACTGTCAGTCAGGCTAGATGAAATAAGTTAAATGAAACAGCAATTCAATTCAATTTTATTTGTATAGCGCCAATTCATAACAGAAGTTATCTCAGGACACTTTTCAAATAGAGCAGGTCTAGACCGAACTCTTTAAACATTAATTACAGAGACCCAATAGTACCACCATGAGCAAGCACTTGGCGACAAGGGCAAGGAAAAACTGCCTGTTAAAAGGCAGAAACCTAGGACAGATCCTTCGGCTCTAGGTGGGTGGTCGTCTGTCTCGACCAGTTGGGGGGGAAGAGATGCACAGCAACAACAGTATTGGCAATGGCAATCTAGCAGGACCATGGCAGGAGGCTCCACCAGGATTGATAAGAACCTGCGAGACGAGAAAGCACAAGAACTCCGGGGAAGAAGTGAAGTTAGTAACATGCATTAATGGGACATGAATGAGTGCAGAAAGAGAGAGGAAGAGAGGAGCTCAGTGCACCATGGGAAATCCCCCAATAGTCTAGGCCTATAGCAGCATAACTAAGGGATGGTTCAGGACTCACCTGATCCAGTCCTAACTATAAGCTTTATCACAGAGGAATGTCTTAAGCCTACTCTTGAATGTGGAGAGGGTGTCTGCCTCCCGATCCACAACTGGAAGCTGGTTCCATAGGAGAGGAGCTTGGTAACTGAAGGCTCTGGCTCCTGTTCTACTTTTAGAGACTATAGGAACCACAAGTAGCCCAGCATTCAGAGAACGTAGTGTTCTAGAGGGGTAATAGGGTACTATGAGCTCTTTAAGATATGAAGGGGCCTGACCATGAAGAGCTTTATAGGTGAGGAGGAGGATTTTAAATGCTATTCTACATTTTACAGGGAAGCCAGTACAGGAGAGATGTGATCTCTTTTTCTAGTTCCTGTCAGTACTCGTGCTGCAGCGTTCTGAATTAATTGGAGCGTTTTAATGGACTTATTGGGGCAACCTGATAATAAAGAGTTGCAGTAATCCAGCCTTGAAGTAACAAATGC